GTCGACTGACAGTCTGGCGAGACCCCCAACCCTGGGCCCTGAGCTTCCCCTCCCCCTTCTTCCCCTTGCTTCCCCCTTCCAGCTCCCTCCTCCCAGGTTTCCCCCTCACCTCTCCCACCCTCTCTCTTCCCCTCTCCCACCTCCTTTTCCCAGTCTCCCCAGAGGCCCCCCCCCCCCCCCGTTTTGTTCAATAAACCCAGTTTCTATTTTTGAACATTCGTGTCTTTTGTTTGACATCAGGAAGGGGGGCTAGGGAGGGGTAAGTGGAAGGACTTGAGGGAGGAATGGGGCACAAGCCCCCAGTGGGGAGGACCGGGGTGGCTCTGAGGGCTCCTCAGGGCGGACGCTCTCCAGCAGGGCCTCCTGGATCCTGACAGCCCCCCGATGGACTCCCCAGATGGCAGCCTGCAGCAAGTGCAGCCGGGCTGATGGCAATGACCCCACGAGATGCACCAGTGTGCCCAGAAGCAGCTCTGACTCTATGTGGCCGAGTGCTGTGGTGTCCCGAGTGTGAGCACTCCAGGCACTCCAAGACAGGACTGCTTTGCTGTCCCTCATCGAGGTAGAACCCTGAGAACTGTCTGTCCGGGGTGGAGGTAGGGTCCCTTTAAGCACAGAGCTCAGTTAGCCTCAGGCAGCAGCCCCTCACACTAAGTCCTAAACTGATGCCCTGCTGGCACTGGTTCTGGCCAGCCTTAACTTTGGTTCAGGGTCCACTCAGTGTGGACGCGCTATTTCAAAATAGCAAAACGCTATTTCGAAATAGGTTTGTGTGTAGATGCGTTAATTCAAATTAGCTTAATTCAAATTAACTATTTCAAATTAAGCTAACTCGAATTAATGCTGTAGTGTAGATGTACCCTAAAAGAGTGGAACACCACATAGAATGAATGAATACATTCAGTATAAGTTAAATTTAAGAAACTAAAACAGTATTGTCAAAAATCTGGAATCAAGCCACCCAAAATCCTGAGATTAGTTTGTCCTGGTATTTTAAAAAAGTAATAAATTTGTGGATTCATTTTATTTGCTTTCTGGTTCATGAACCATTTGAATGCAGTTGGGTCACATTTTTCAAGACTTTATGGTACCGTGAACTAGAAACTTTTTTTAAATGAAAACTGAAATTCTCAACATTTTTTTGTAATCAGTTATAAATCATTGCATCTCTATATATAACATAAGGCCAGATTATACTAATTATATGAAAATATGTGATACATAGTAAATGGAAGTTGACATTCTGTATGTACAATAGCTTCGTTTAAATGTTATTATTGTAGTCACTTTTTTATTTCTTTGTTTGCTACCTTTTTTGTGATTGGATGTTTGAGAGGTTTAGGTTGAACTCTTTGGCACTCCTTAGTCAGCCAAATTTACATAGAATTTTGTTTGAAGGAGTGATGAACAGAGACTTGAATGTCAATAACATTTCATTTAAAAAAATCCCTTTGACAAACTTCTAGTTTTCTCACATTTATCTAAAAATAACAAAGACCAACAGGCTTATTAAAAAATTTGTGTACAGGAACAAACAACTTTTAGAGCTGAAGCTTCAGGGGGTAGCTGAGCTAGTCTGTACAGGATAAACTTTAAAAAACAACGAATAGTCTGGTTATTGCATAAATGTCTTGAAACCATAGTTTATAACATAAGCAACAACAGATGTTCAACTATAGAGGTGTTAGCAGGCATTGCTAAAAATGCAGAATATTTTCTTACCATAAAGATATTCTATAATGTTAGAAATGGAATTGTGGCACTTCTGGAATTGGATATACAGCCTCACATTTCAATTATTATGCTTCTTTTTTTCCTCTCTGCCACAACTATTCATTCCCACACCCCATCTCTTGAATCAATTCAGCATGAAAGGTTCCCTACCTCAGAAAGGTTTGAAAAAAATGGAAATGAAAAAAGTTTTTCTGCACAATCACATTAATTGTGATGGGCAAGTAAAACTGGGCAGATTGTCATAATGGATTACTTTTATATCTGCCTTCCGCTGGATCACATTACAATAATACTACAACTACAACTAAAGTTTCCTGTTATTAATTTATTTATTGTCACAATACATGCCACAGTATTCTTTAGGAACACCATTGTGGAAGAAATAAATGGTAATCCTTTTAAAAGTATCAGTATCTGTCTGATATGTGGCTATCTACTTCTGAAATGTAATCTAGACACAATACCAGTAGCTTTCAGCCAAAGAAAACATATTGTTTACTTTGTACTAGAATCAGGGTATTCTATTCCCTAGACAACTGATGGAAAGTGTCTTGGAATTATTTGCAATTCATTGAAATTCATGCAACAGCAGATTGATAGGTGCACTTGATGGTCAGTGCAGATTGACAACACCTGGACCTACCCTTCTGAAATACAAGTGGAAAATCTAAAACAAAAACAAAAAGGCATTTAGAAAAAAAATGTCATTAAATATAACAGCCATTCTTAGAAGATTTCTGCAGTTCTCTTTACTGTATGCTGGAAAGACTGTAACACACATTAATCCATAGTCTCTGTTTTTAATACATGTTAAATTGCACTTGACCTACTGGGTGACTTCTTTTTCCAGATTTCCCAAAGGATAAATCCATTCCTTGCTCTTTGCAAGGGGAAAATGAATGTGTTTCTACATTTCTAATGGCTACAGATGAACAAGGAAGGACAATTATTCATAGCATAAAGCAGAAAGGTGAGTTGTTAATATCACTATATATACACAATATCACTTTGTGGTATAATTTAAAACCACAAATGAGGGAATCAAGCCATACATACTGGAATATTAGCAGACTGAGATGTTACACACAGTACTGTATTTTCTTGTGTTAAAAGTATTTTTCTACCTAATCAAAAAAAAGCACTTCCTAAAATATTTTACATATAATGGTGAAATGAGACATGAGCATTCTTGCAATACAGGCAGAATGGACTAAGTACCAGGCTAGAAACCAGAAATGGCTGATCTAAATCCAGCTCTTACTCCCTCTGTGGCCTTGAGGCAAGTCACTCTGTTCAGTTCCCTCATCTGCAGAGTCTGGGTAACATTTCCTTCTCTGCAACACAGAAGTGATGTACGGATTAATTAATGTTTTAAAAGTACGATGAAATGTATGATACCAAATACCATCACATTATATGACAAATTACCTGCAAAATATTATTCAGACAGATACAAAAAATGTTAATAGATCACCAAGTAACCATAATACTTACACTAGACACAATGAAGCAAATGTTTATAGGATTTGCGAATATTTTTACAATCATATCCTGCCCACACAATTATATTTAACACGGCACTATTACGAAGAGTTGAATGATTTTCACAAAGTTATTAAAGAAGTTCAACAATCATTTTACTAAGGTATGTCCTTTCATTTAAAAATACTTCTTTTTTATATTGTGCTATTTGTTTTTTCTTATATTTCATTTAAAGATCCTAAGAAAGTAGAACACTAGAGAACAGAGACTCCTCAGTTACTTAGGGCATGTCTGCTCATCAGGGTTGAAGCTGAAATAAGCTATACAACTTGAGTTATGTCCATTGCTTAGCTTAAGTCAAAATAGCTTATTTCAGCTTTTGGCACTATCTACAGCAGGAAGTCAGAGAAAAAGCACTCTTCCTCTGATTTCCCTTACTCCTCATAAAATGAGGGATACAGGAGTTGGAGTAAGAAGTCCTTCAGCTCAATATTATTTCAACATTATGTCGAAAGAACTGCTTGCTGGGTAGACGTGGACTATGTCACTTATTCCAAAATAACGCTGCTGTGTAAACATATCCTTAGACAGCTTTTTTCCAAGCAGTAACATACATTTGTGGACACGCCCGGTGCCTCACTGCGAAAGTTACATCACTGACTAAAGCATGGCACATGGTTGTTTTACTTCTGAGAGTACAACTTGAGGCTTGGAAATTTTTTCCAGCCACTTATCATCTTTATTAATTTTTTGTACAGTGTTTCTTCAGCACCTGTGTCAGGAATTAAAGTGATTGCACTGAAAATAATCAGCTACTCTTGTAACAATATTATTGCTTAATAATAGCAGTGTGCCATTATAACCCACACTGGTATATTGTTCCATGAAGTGGCATTTGACCATCTGCAGGGAGGAAGAATTAGTGTGCTCTACTGCAGTGGTCTCCAGCCTTTTTAAGCACAAGATCACTTTGAATTTCAGATCTATCTCAAACCCAAAATCCAAGATCTACCTCAAACCCAAGTACCCTTGCCCCCACCTCCTTTGTGCCCTTTCTCTGAGGTCCCGCCCCTGCTTTCCCTCCTTTCCCTCCCTTGTCTTACACAGCAAGCAGGAGGCTCCTGAGGAGACAGCTGCAAGGCAAAGGGCAGGAGATGTACAGCAGTCAAGGGAGGGGCAGCTGAAGAGCTGGCACTTGATAGCCTCTTGGCCAAACAGTCAGGATCACCTGTCAGAGGCTCTAAGGTCTACCAGAAGATCCTGATTTACTTGTTGGTGACCACTTTTCTACAGCCTTAGCTAAGAGCCATCTGGCTTTTTGCTCATGCGATAGAGGCTCATGCAATAAGCTCTGGGTTCAGTTCTGCCTAAACCATTACATAAAGTAGCTTTATATCAAAGAATGTTATAACAGGGTTTTAAAACAAGGATGGAAGGTTTATCCATGTGTAAACTCTACTCCCCAGATTCAAGAGCATAAAATATTTTCATAGCTGTATGATATTTTCTTTATTAAACATATTACTGTGTTTATTTAAAGAGAAGAACTGATAGAAACAGCTTAAGGCAGGCATACTGCATGCAAATGCACTGCAGCATTCCCCACGCAGTTCTGAGAATTAACCTAAATTCTCATCTCTTGTTCCACTTCTGGACCTATTTCAAGTAAAGGAACAATTACTCTGTGGTTTTGTGATGTATGCAAATATGAACTAAGATGAGAACACCGTGAACAATCCAAAGCTCATTTTCACTTCTGGATTTGAAATTTAGTCTGCACGAATGGCTAATACCTTCTCCCCATGTTCAAACTAGACCTCTCAAAATAAGTTGCATAATGACGTCAATCAAAAAAGTCATGCAAAATAAAATCTATGCAAATTATGCCAAACTGAAATGAATTTAAATGTCATCAGACCATGGATCAGCAGAATAATTCATAAAATAGTAACCTTCATAGCCTTTTATGAGTAATACTGGTTATTTTAAAATGATCTTTTAATTGAGAGCAGACAAAAAGAATGTGTCCTCTGAACTATACCAGCTTATTATTGTGTTGAATTCTAGAAAAAAAAATCTTTCACAGAATAATACTGGTTTTCTCTTCTAAAGTGCGCATGTTCGACCTGGGATTGCTATAGAGTTTATAGAATGAAAAACAAACAAGAAAAATAATCTAAAAGTAGTATTGAATTTCTAGTATGGTAACACAAGTACCTTAATAAAATGTATAGATTCAACACCTGGACCCTTTTAATTAGCACCATAATGTATATAATTAACAGTTATGTCCTGAAGTGCCAAACTCAGCAATCAAGTATGTTATTCCAGAGTCTACTTACATTCTTTTGTTTGAAAGTTGGGCATCTGATTTGATGCAATATCTCCTTATCCAGTACTTCTGCTTATCTTCACTCCATCTTTACTCATGAGGTTTGGTCATGAATGGAAAGGACATTTATCATTTCAGATAGGGCTGAAAGTAACATCTTTTCAGAACTTAGAACTGACTGGATTCATGTGGGCAAGACCATGTGAGTATTTTTAATGAGTAGATTTGAATCAATGAAGCCAAAGTCAAAGCAGCTTCATTGTCATTTCTAGGAATCTGATCTTGCCCTGCTGAAAACAGCGAGAGTTTTGCCATTGACTCTAGTGGGAGCTAAGTTAGGAATACTGTTTATACTGTAGCAGTGGACATTGGAAAATAGTAGAAGTCTTTCTATATCTCACTTAGACCTGTGTGGAGAATGGAAATTCTGTTTTGCAAAGAATTAGTAATATTTCAAAATTTGGCTTCCATCAGAATGAAAACCAAAACTGAAAAATTCAAAATTCTTCATGAAAGAAAATTCCAGAAAAATAATAATTTTGGATCACTCAAAACATTTCATTTGGACAAATTCAAGATGTTTCATTTATATTATGACTTTTTAAAAATGTTACATTGAATATTGTCATATAAAGATATCATACAGAATTTTAAAATATTGAAATGAGTCACTTCAATATTGTTTGGATTTTTTCCCTTGCTTTTTTGCCTAACTGTAGTTTCTGCAAAAATAACATAATCTCCCAGTGTTTCAATTTTTGAACTTTTTCCAAGCAGCTCTAATCTTACTGGAGTCCAGTCCGAGTCCTATATCTAAGATTGCGGCATTTCAAAGTGAATCTTGTTTTTTCTTTATTTTTGAGATGCCATTTCCCCTAGCTTCTCCATATCACCAAAGCTGTATCCCTGTGTTAGTCACCCACTCAACAGATGACAATCTATGGAGCATCTTTCCCTCTGCAATATTCCTGAGTACCATAAATCCAGAAGTGAGATTATGAGATTTCATGCTTCCACTTAGCCAACCACGTTTCCTGTTTCTTTAAGAAAAGCACTTTTGTATTTTTATTTTGGTGTTCTAAATGTATTCCAAAGAACCTCCATCTGGAAGCTATTAGTTAATTTTGTATTAGAGCTAAGGAAATCATATGAAGTGAATACTTTTTATGCTTTCAATATAATCCTTCTGGCCATGGGAGCTTCCGATAAAACTGCTTCTGTTGAGTTTCACTTTGAATTCCTGGGTTTGTGTTCAGGGACTGCAAACATACATGAAAGAAAAGGCACATGCAACACACAGCCATGAAAACCAGCAGGTTATTCTCAGAGGTTTTTAATTAGCTATACTTGTGACTAATACTCTTAGCTTGCTTTGTTTCCACAGATTGCCCACAACCTCCAAATATTCCAATGATAATGCTGGGTGTTTCTCTTGCTATCCTTCTGATTGGCATTGTTCTACTGTGTATATGGAAAGTGCTAGTTTCTTTTCAAGACCGAAAGGAGGTTGCCAAATTTGAAGCAGAAAGATCAAAGGCCAAATGGCAAACGGTAAGTACTTGCATTAATTTTACACAAGTCTCTAAGATCTGGCTCAATAGCTCACAATTAATAAAGGAATTGGACAGATTTCCAAATTTCTTCCGTCAGTAGATTTTCATGTATAGCATGCTATAATTAAAAATTGTAATGGGGCTTTAGAAAGGAATGAAAAATAGATTCATGGTACTATTCTTTGTTTTATTTCTTCCATGTGCAAATATTATGCAATGAGATATTGTTTTCTTAACAAACAACTGGGCATCTAATGAATAATATTATATATATCTGTCAGTGAATACCTTGATTAAGATTAGAGGCACAGTCCTGTGACGATAAGTATCATACGTTCCTTTCCCCCTGTTTCCTGTGCCTGGAACTTTGCTCTTTTGCAGTAGTCTTTAAATGAAAGATGCTGGGAGCCACATGTTGAGTCAACTTTTCTGGAGAAGAGTAGAAGTTATTTTAATGTAATATAATATATTAAATAGTAATTCATTAACTAAGTAATTCATCCAGAGTAGCATCACAATTGCCAAACTTCAGCAGAACCATTTACTGAATAATCTCCAGCATTTGAGCATGAAAAATAGGTACATTTAATTCCAAGATTTTTTTCATAATATCTGGGGTTAGCTAAGGCTGGTAAAAGGGAAATGTAGGAGAAAAAAGAGCCATCAGCAGGGAAATAAAGGAGCTTCTGAAGGGAAAATCAGTGAGCCCATGCAAAGGGCACTGGAAAGAACATTAACATGCCTACTGTTAGCCCTCTAAATCCCTTGGCCTTTTCTAATTAACAATGTGGTACAGTCCTAAGTATCTCAGTATAGTAGAATAGAATAGAATTTGGACAGTATATGTCTTCTACCACTGTGGTGGGAGGAGTCCTCTTGTGGAAGTGAAAGGCCATCTGAGCATTCTGAGGTTTGCATGCACTTCAGGTTCAGGATTCTGAACTTCACCTAAAAGTTTGTGTAAAAGATAAAGAAGCCTCACTTTCATCCAAACCCTGGAACCACAGAGGTTTTCCTCACTGTTTCAGGTTGTGTTCCAAAAGTCATACGTAGCTTTGATGTTGACATATTATATTAACAGTCCCAGGAAACCTTCTACAAGAGCAGGGACGAAGTGACTTGCCCAAACTTCAGCTACATTCAGCTTATCTAAATTCTTTCAGTATTCTCAGATATGGTATTCCTCAGTCCTGTCTTAAACTATTTGATGGAGTTTACTGTGTACCGTTAAAGTTCTATAACAAGCAGAACCAAACTCCCAAAAGTCAAGGTTCTGGATCTGAACTGTCCCCATGTCCAGTGATGTTTGTGTTGGGCATGTTTACCAGAAGCTGGAAATGGCCAACAGAGAATGAAGCACTTGATTATTACCTGTTCTGTTCATTTCCTCTGAAGCACCTAACATTGGCCACTATTGGAAGATGGGATCCTGGGCTAGATGAACCGTTGGTCTGCCCCAGGAAGGTTGTTCTTATGTTATGGAGATAGGTGTAAACTGTAACTTTGTTCCAAGATTGAAACTTATCTTTTAAATACCTGATGCATTTTGCCCCAGAAATGCCTGTACTACATGGGTAAGCAAAATCAGAGAGCCTGATCATGTGAGTTGGCTATGAAGACTGAAGGCACTCAGCAGCTCACAGTTTAATTTGCAAAACACTTTGAGCTAGATTGAACCATGAAGCCCAGAGCAGGGATCAGTGTGCAACTGTGCTATTCCAAGATAAGTTCTGGAAAAGCATTAGGTCTCAGAATTGCAACTCCATTCCAGTTCTCCCCTTCCTCTGATGGACAATAAGTTACTGCACCACTTTTTTTATTTGGTCCCCCACTCTGTGAACTCAGCCGGCTATTCTGAATGGTGAGTGGCATGGTGAACTCAAGGTTCCCACTCCCTGCCCCATCCATCTCCTAACTCCCCCTCCACACACCCCACTTTCTTATAGTAGTGATTGAGGATTCTCTGCTCTCCCCTTGTAGTCAGAGCAACAACAGCTCTTACTCCCCCTCAAGGGTACCATTTCGGGCACGTAGTGGGGACAGTAGCCATACACTCCGGGACACAGCTAGCTTTTCATCCCGTTCCCTGGACACTAAGGGAGTGAGGGGAAAGTGCTTGCATTCCGTACATTCCTCTCACACCCGGCTGGTAAGAGGGGGAGTAGCCTGCTGTAAAATGAATGCACGGAATGCAAGCACTTTCCCCTCACTCCCTTAAGGTCCAGGGAACAGGATGAAAAGCAAGCCCCCTCCCAGAGCACTCAAAATGGAGCCCTTGTTTCCCCTTAGTTCTCTGCTTGGCCAAATAACAGTAAAATTTAAAACATTTAATAAATTCCTATAAAACAATCACTTTAACTGCTTCATTAGTACTTTGTGCATATAGAAGAGTAAAAATAGCATTTTTGCGAAAACATTTTTATTCAAACAGAAAAGTGTTATGTGACATTTCACTCTGTTGATAGCAATAAAAATGGGTTGGCCTGCCAGCAGACCTGAAAAGACATGCAATATCAACTGTAGCTTATTGAGTTGCTATAGCTTTGTTTAAACATGGTTGAAAGAGGCAATGAACAAATTCTGATAAATATATATTACATATACTAATTGGCACAAATCTGTGTTTTAAAGAAAGGACAACAGGCTTGACAAATGAGTAGTATCTTTATAATTAACTGAACAGTTTAATGGTGAATCATTTCCACCCCCAAGTGACTTTAAAACATTTTATTTAGGATTACCACATAATTGAAATTGTGTAGACTTTGTGATGCTTTTGAAAAAAATCTGTAACCAAAATAAAATGTTGAGTATTTAACTGGGTTATTAATTAAAGCTGGAACTGATATTCAGTAGCCAAGAATATTTGTCTAGCACCTTTTATTTTCAAAGTACTTCTCTATCATCAACTAACAAATCCACATGTAGGAAAGTATGATTAATGCCATTTTGCACACAGACTATGGAGGTAGTTAAGGCACTTCCTAGTGTTGATCATAGAGGGAACCAGTATGAGAACCATGACACATTGCCTTCAAGCAGCTGAATCTAACCAGAGTTCAAGTCATAATAACATTGACAAACTGCTGAGAATGTTGCAACCAGACAGTTGTGGGTCTAAGGTAGGCATGAGGGATTCACCTCAGGGTTGTAAGAAATGAGGAAAAGTAGAAGAATGGAGAGAATTTGCCTAAAAATCTTCTAAAAATAATTCAGGAAACTGTACTGCAAAATACAATTATACCATCTGTGTAATTAGACACGCTCTACTTGAAATATTTGGAGTTGTAATGGAGAGCATTAAGGACTGTCAATGTTGAAAGCAGAAATACCAGCTGGAGGCATCTTTTAGGTGCCTGCCTAAGGAAGGTGATTAAGGAGAGAAGGAACACACTAGCTCGTGGGTGGTAATTGTGCGGTAAGAACTTGGACATCTTTGTAATCCTCAAGGCAGGAGGTCTGTAGTTTCAGATAGCACAAAACCGCTGATATGAGCAGACCTGCCAATAGGGGAGGGGGCCCAGGGCCCAGAGATTCAAAGGCAGTGGTCACTGGAGCCCTGGACCACCTTGTATTGCCACTGGAGTACTACACCAGGCACTTGGCATGGCTCTGATGGCAACAAGGGGCACACCACTATCAGGGTGGCACTAACAGCTGCCAGCCCTTGGCTCCGCCCCTTCTGGGGTTGTGGAGCTGGTCCTCCCTATACACACTCGCCTAGCCCCAGAGCCCATAGTGGCTGCCAGCCCTATTGGATATGAATGGAAGGGGTCTTATTCCACAGGTGCAGACCAACAAAGCACATTGTCTGAAGGGGGACTGATGCATGACTTCTCCCATATATAAACTGTTTTATTCTGTAATAAGTGTACATCGTGTCTCTACTATCATTATAAAACACAACTATTACTATTTTTACTTGGCCCATAGTTCTGAAGTGTGAGAAATAATAAATCTATCCTTTGATTATTCATAGTTATATGTGATTACAGCTGTGAAGTTTTAGACTTATCTGCCCCTCTGCTACATTTGCTATCAAGGGAGGAGGGAAAAGAACCTTTTCATTTGAGTAGCCAGCAGAGATCAAGTAGGGGAATGATGTCAGCATAAACAATTTAAATGACTCTTTTTAGAAAACACTTTTTACAGTCTGTTCCTCCTGGAAGGATCCAGTCATGACTTTCTGCATGAAAATAATGTAAGACACATAGTTAAGTATTTCTTTGATAACATACTGTTTAACTAGATTTGTTTTTTTAACGTGGAAGACAGATACATTTGCTAATTTTTTCCTAGTTCTGGTTTGATTTGTTACACTCTGTGTAGACTGATCATCATTATGCCTTATTATGATCTTCAATGGATCGCTACATGACAAATTTACAATGTTATATTCGGTAATATAGCAATAAGCACATTACTTCCACATACTAGGAATGAAAGGTACTACTGAGTTTGTGTGTGGCTTGCATCATCAGACTGAATCAGTTCAGGAATCATTTATAGCATTGATGGTGACCTATTCTGCTCTAAAGCCAAAGAGGTAGGATTAAAGTTAATGGTTTGCATCTACACACATGCGGTAATGAGTCAATGATCAAATGGCAGATTTACGAAAAGTTACATTTAACTTACTAGCATTTTTTCTTTTTGTTGTTGTTGTTTTTAGGGAACAAATCCCCTGTACAGAGGCTCAACAACCACATTTAAAAATGTAACTTACAAGCACCAAGAAAAGCAAAAAGTGGACATTACTGCAGATTTCTATTAGCACTTCAGACACTGGAAAATTAGTTTTACTGACAGAAAATGTAAAAGCACTATTTCGTTTTTATTTCTTATGACTGATTACATGGACATTTGTTGGCACATCTTAGTGATACAAAAATTCAGCTAGAGCAAATATATTTTGTGTGTATTGAAGATACTGTAAACAACTGCTACAAAAGGAATGCTACAAAACAACACATTTAATATTAAGACCTACAAATTAGATTTAAAGAAAAAGCACTGAAGAGTTCTGTGGAATTTACTCCACAAAGAAAATAAAACTTCACCATCAATAAGCACATTTTCCTGAGTTTATCTTGTATTTGCTATTTATGGTGAATTTTACTGCACATTGTACATGATACAATGCCACACAGATGGTGCATGCCCAGACACAATCAGTCCACACTGTTGGCTTACATAAAATAAAAGACAGGAATTTATGAATGACAAGAATAATGTCTGCAATTCTAGGAAGTTTAGGGAGTCCTGATGCCAGACTATGGGCTTTGGTATTGGTTTAATCAGTAACAACTGAATTTGTAGCCTTTCTTACATAAATCCAAAATTTATAAAAATATCTTTGCAACCTCTTTGCCTTTCCCTCTTTCTTTGCCTGTCTCCTTTCCCCCTTTGGTGTTCTACCCTTTTCTTTAAGGACTCACGCTTAAGGCACTGCCAAAAGTGAATACTGTTTAAAAATAGCCAGATTGCTTCCTCTGAGTTCTAGTGGCGACATTCTAATACAAAATAAAAATGTTTGTCATTGTTCAGAAAATTCAGTTGGGCAGCTTTAAACATGAAGATAGCCCTGGGAGTTCTGAAAAATCCTACTCCTGTGCAGAGATCCTGTGCCATTTAATCCCAATTAGACTCAAACGATAAACCTATGAGCTGTACAGGTTATTGTGCAAGCCCTTTGCATAGAAGAAAATTTCATGCATAAAACATAGATTTAATATCATACCCATAATTGCACTGTTTTGTGGATAACACACATAAATAATACTTTAGGTATCCATAGCAGCAGCGTATTTTAACCTGTCAGTCCATTTATTCTAGTACAAGAGAATAACTTCAGCCCTTTTTTGGAAGTTTTTCAAATAAGCAGTTAATAATTACTAATTCCACTTGCTATTCATGACAGTGACTTTAATAATGATTTTAAAAGCTCAGTTTTTAACTAGAGTTGCTATCTATTTGCCATAGATCCTTAGTAAAAAGAAAAATTGTGATGGCAGGCACAAAACTGAAGAAAAAGCAGTTGAGGAGATAAAATACAAATTACACCATCAAGAATTTTTTAGAGAGAGAAAAGGGTGCTATATTTACCTAACTAATCATTTCTTCTGAAATGTTTTAACCTGAAATTCATGGTAAAGAGATTCAGAGTGCAGACTGTTTTTACAACAGACACACATGTTATCTGAAAACATTTTTTAAAAAGCAACATGTTGGCCTATTCACAGAATAACAAAACCAATATTTTTCCTTGTATTAAACTACAATTTTGATCTAAAAATCCTTGAAGGTGTTTATTTGAACAGCCTGTGTAACTTCAAGTTTTTATATCCATACATTGCAAATACGGGATGTGGTGTGAATTGATTTATCAGGTAGGTCTGACTAAAACCTGATTTTTTGGGGGCCTGATCCAAAGTCTACTGAAGGACAGTGAAATAAGGTGAGACAATATAACAGCATGTGAAATAATTTCAGTGTGAAGGGTTTACTATAAATCTAATCTCTGGAACTGGAACAAGTTAATTAAGCATCTGTACTTTTAGGTATTCTTGCCCAACTAATAGTAAAAGCTATGTTTATGCAGAGAGCCCAGATTTGCAGTTCTTGCACTCATACTGAAGTCAGTGAAAATTTCATATCATATGAAATCCTACTTCTTTAACCATATGAATTGTTCCACTGAGTCAAAATCATGAAGACAATAGGAGTTCTGCAACTGACTTCAATGAGGTCAGGATTTTACCACTGACTTCAGTTGGATTATTGCACAAGTAAGCATAGCAGAATTTGAACAATGGAACGAATGTAAAGGTAAAATAGATATTACTTGTACTTTACAATAAACACAAAAGTATCAATTGAGAATAATTTTTAAAAGATTAAAAAGCTTCTTCTATTTGGTGTCTCTAAACTAACCAAAATTCTTGTTGTTTTATTAAGCATGTTTTAAGTTAGATTTCAGAATGGCTGACTCAATGATCAGTAATAGGAAGCAGAGCCTTTCATCTTTAGGTCACCAGTTTACATATAGGGCCACGTCTCTATTTGCCACGAGAAAGATTGACCTTCTGGCATTCAATTTAGCAGGTCTAGCAAGGACCCACTAAATCAAAAACTATAAGGGTACCTAGTCAGCGCCAGTACTCCTCAAATTTTGTGATTACAAGAAGTAAGGGAAGCCAGTGGGAGCATTTGCTCCTATCAATCTCCCACTGGGAAGAAAGCACTAAGCTTGGCTGAAGGTATGTCAACTTCAGCTATATTATTTATGTTGTTGGGGTTTTGTCATTAAGCCAACCTTCCGGGTCTAGTGTAAACCTGGCTTAGGATAATTTTGTGGTGTATGAAAGTAACAACTTCTGGTATTTGAACAGTGTGCAGTATCCCCTAAGAGATGAGTGTGGTACTCTGTCCCATTCCTAAAGAGCACTGCACATCACAAAATCACTACTATCACTGAGAACAGAGAAACTATCCATTTTCCAGGAGGAAAATATCTGTGCTAGTCATTATACAAACACAGTAAAAGAAAGTCCCTGCCCTGAAGAGCTTACATTCCATAGGAGACCCTTCAAATACAGATCGTGCTGAAAGCTCTTTTTAATTAAAATCTGTGCGGCAAGCTTCCCAGAGGTCACATAGAATATTATAAGATGTTGCTCAGAGACCAGTAGCATTTACCCCAGCTCTGGGAGTGGGGTTTATCCTTTTAGTTGGATGGTAATATTTGTTATCTTGTAGATACTTTTAGCAAACGTATACTACCATTTATTCTTCTTCAAACTTTGAGTGTCTGTGTGTGGTATTGGGCAGAGGGGGTTGGTCGGGAGAATTAAAAGGTTTGGTTTTTTTTTACCCTGTTGTTGTCATGGATGTTGTTTTGACCTAAGGCTGGACCTGGAGAAAGGCCAAAACGTTGTTAATAGATGTACTTCTGTTCACTGAAGAGTAAAACTAAGTAAATAAAAGAATGTTCATAGCCCTTTTTTTGTATGTGTGTATTTGACATACATTAAAAATTATAATTTAAGCAATTTTGTCTGGCATTAATAATTTTCATTCTGATTTACAAAACCATATATATTCACTGTGTCTCCAGATTACATTCCCTCACAATGGCTTTTTCAATTTCAGGAAACAACATAATACAGAAAATAGGTAATGAATCCAGGAGTCAAACATCAGGGCAGTAGTCTTTATACACTGCATATAGTAAGGCATAGGTCCAAATCCTACTTCTTCCCCCAGGGCTGTGGAGTGTCCTGACTCATCTAGTAATAGAAATGTAGCCGTGTTAGTCTGGTCTAGCTGAAACAAAAAACAGGACTATGTATTGCAGGCTTCTTTCAGAAGAAGCTTTGCCGGAAGAGATCTTCTGGAAGAATTTCCGAAAGAGAGCGTCCACACTGGCAAAGCAGATCAAAAAAGCAATCTGCTCTTTCAAAAGATAGCCTCCACACTGATTGGATGCTATCTTGCATAAAAATCCGCGTGGAACCACTTCAGGCAGAGCTTTAGGACACCAATTGCTTCCTAGTGCTGGTGCAAGAGCCTTGCAGAGACACGCGCTTAAAGGGATCCCCTTGGACAGCTGTTTCTCTGCTTCTGCTGCATGGTTGCTACCTCTTTGAGGGACAGAAAAGCTCTCACAGTGTGTGCTGTGATTGCCCTGCTTTTTTGGATGCTACAGCATTTTCCTCTGTGCCATGGAGCTGGAGGTGCCCCTGGGCATGCGATGGCCCCACACAGCCATGCTACAGTTTTTGGTCCTGACTGAGCTTGATCCTGAGCTCATTCTGGGAATCCTCTCCCTGGGCGCAGAGGCTCCGCTCTTGCAACCCACTGTGGAGAGGTGTTTGTGGAGGCTGGACACCTGTTCCAGCTGGTGGCACCGGCTGGTTATGGAGTGGTGGGATGACCAGCAGTGGCTCCACAACTTCCACATGCGGAAGGCCACCTTTTTGGAGCTGTGTGCCTGGCTCACCCCTGCCCTCTGACAATGTGACACCCACTTGCGGCCTGCCATCCCTCTGGAGAAGCAGGTCACAAAAGCCATCTGAAATCTCGCTACCCCTGACAGCTAGCAGGGGTGGGCAACCAGTGTGGCGTGGGGAAGTCCACTGTCAGGGCCTTCCTCATGGAGGTAAGGCACTCTCAGGGCCATAAATTCCATCCTGCTGTGGAAGGTCATCTGCCTAGGAGACTTGGACCCAAATGTGCCAGATTTGCTGCCCGTGGATTCCCAAATTGTGCTGGAGCAATCGATGGGACTCACATACCGATCCGCGCACCTCAACATAGAGCAACCCAGTATATTAACAGGAAAGGCTACTTTTCTATGATGCTACAGGTCCTGGACGACCACCGTGGACACTTCATTGTCATTTTTGTCGGGTGGTCTGTCAGGGCACATGATGCCTGTGTCTCTTGGAACTCTAGCCTGTACGGGAAGCTGGAGGTGGGCACATTCTTCCCCCACCGTGAATTTGCCATTTGGGATGTGCACCTGCCACTGTGCATCATGGGGGATGCAGCCTACCCCCTGGTGCCATGGTTAATTAAATTGTACACCAGCCACCTGGACCCCAGAAGGGACCAATTTAATGCCCACCTGAACTGGGCCAGGATTCAGGTAGAGTGCACCTTTGGCCACCTCAAGGTGTGTTTCAGGTGCCTCCTGACCCGCCACGATGTGAGGGAGAACAACATCCCCAAGGTGGTGTCAGCATGTTGTGTCCTCCACAACATTATGGAGAGGAAGGGGGAGACCGTCCTTCCAGGATGGGGGGCAGACGCTGGCTGTGAGGGGAAACCCTTTGAGCAGCTCCAGACAGCTGCCATCCAACAAGCTCATCAGGCCGGCGTGCACATTTGGGAGAACCTCAGGGAGAGGTTCTCTTAAGGACTCCAGTAACTCTCCCCAGAATATCCCCCTTAGGGGCCTCTGGCTTGCTGCCCTATCCCTTCCCCACCACAACCCCTCCCTTCCCTGACCTCAGAATAAAGACACATGTTGATTTTGAACAAAACGAACTCTGTATTGATCTTTCAGTAACAACAGCTGAGAAGGGGGAGGGGGATTCATAACTGGGATGGAAGAGGGGCTCAGAGTAGTGTGGGGGGCAGCTGGATGTGCCACCACGGGTGTGGGGACCTCATCAGACTTGGGGTTGGGTAGGTCCAGGAAACACAGGAGGATGGGCAGGAGGGAGGGGCTGGAGCAGGGGCACGGGAATTGCTTGCGGAGGGAGCATGGGCTTTGCTTGGGGAAGGAGCAAGGGCATCACTTGGGGGCCGGGGGAGGAGGGGATGGGCATAGCAGGGAGAGCAGGAAGGTGGTTGGCAGGAGCAGCGACAGCAGGCGGGTGTGCCATCATATCCCTCATGATGGCACACATGCTATCGCACCGCTGCATTAGCTGGTCCCAAGCGCAGTTCTGCCACTTCCGGATCTTCTGCATCAGGGTCTGCTGCATGTCACACAGGACGCTGACATGCTGCCACAAGAGGTCTTTCCGGACCCTGGTGTGCTTTTGGATCCCCCGGGCTCTAGCAACTGGCATGGAAAGCGTGGCTCAGCCTTCAGTCTCATTGGTCTGGCTGTGGAGAACACAAAGAGGGAGAGGCGGTTAGTCATCCATGTAGACACTCTCCCTAAGGCTGTGCCCTCCTCTGTGAGCAGCTACCAACAGTCCTCGGGCCAGAGGAGGGGGATGTCCCAGGAGCAAGGCCATGTGTGGCCTGCACAACAGGCCCTTCCTCACAGGGGGCCCAAGGTGCCCAGGGAACCATGCTACCCTCTCCCCTGGCCCATGGACAAGCAGGGAAGGGAAATGTCTGGCCACAGTGGGATCCTATGGGCATCAGAGGATCCAGGAGCAGCCTGGCCCTCCCTGGGTCCACACACACACATCTGAGGCTCACAGTGCTGTCCAGAGGAGCAGCTGCTGCCTCGTATGTGCAGGCATGCCCATGTGCTGTGTGCGGCACTCCTCGGTGTGCTGGGGTCGTGCCTAAGCCCTTGTGGCTAGTCTGCTGGGAGTCCCCTTCCTCCCCCACCTGTGATCCCACCTGTGCTCAGGGGCTGCCTGCTGAGTCCACGTGGCACACGCTAACACTGCATATGGTTTCACGTGCACAGACTTCAGCACGATGTCCAGCCTGAGCAACCCAACTGATGCTCGACCCCCTCCCCTCTCCCCGCCTCCTGTGCACTTGCTTTCCCTGCCCTGTGTGTGAGACAAACTGAGAGCACTCACCTGAAGATCTCTCCCTGGTGTCAGACAAGGCTGGGAGATGTCTTGGCTGCCAGGAACCGGCTCCAGGAACAGGGTGACGGTGTCTGTCTTGTCCACCTCCTCTTGCTGTCCCTGGTCCTTCTCCTGACCTCTGGCCAGGCGATGACAGGGGTCTCGAGCCGGAGTCCAACATGATGGGTGGGGAAAACGTTTCCCCACACCCTTGGGGTTGGTGCAGCTCCTAGTAGTAGGGGCAAGTGTGGGGTCCTGCCCCTGAGTGCGAGCTGCACTCTGTGGTCCTGACATATCCCTGATGGAGCTCTTTCACCAACTCCCTTGGGTTGCCTTAATTTGTTCTGCTTAAATTAATTTTTATTTAACATCTTTGTTTGTTCTGTTGTGCCATAAAGTTTATAGTGTTGTTTTCTTCAGCCAATATATGAGGTGTAACATGGCTAGATGACATTATATTTGTGATCTATTTATTTTCAAGAGGCTCTCAGGTAAATGAATAAGCTTTATACTCGACCTGTTTTTCCAAAATATGATGTGATTATGTATTAGGGGGTTATATAGAGTGACTCCTAAGGTGCACAACATGTTTACAGCTAATGGTCTTCCATTAATCATTATAATAACAGTTTTGCTTCTCTTTGAAGCTATAGGGCAAAGTTCATATTTTCTATTTTATCTGTATGGTGCTTCTCCTTTTTCCGTTCTAATGAAAATTCATATATATGTTGTCTTATTTGTTAATATCCTGCTGTGAGGAAGAGAACGTTCCTCCATATCCTTGATAGAATTATATTTGCCAGTCTATCATATTTCCCAGGCACAAAATGAGAAAATTTCACAGTGGGATGTGAAAGTTGAGACTGATTTGATTCTAGTGTGTATCTATGGCACATAATTTATAGCAGATCCTAGCTACACCAACCCTCTATAAATCTTTATTTTCTTGATTCCTAGAATGACCCATACTTTAAAACTTTTCTTCTCTCTTTTCATTATGGTTCATATTGGCAAAGATTGAAATATATCAAGAAAAGGACAATAATGACCGTGGCTAGCATGATAAAAAGGCATGTCTTGACAAAGACTCTAGGCGGTGGATAACTTTTGAGGTTAAAGTTTGCTCCAATCTGGATTATTATTAATAAGAATTCAAGAGAGCAGATATGAACTAGGAATTGATTTTTACTGCAACCTTTCATGTTTTGGAGTTTTATTTATACAATAGGTTATTTCAAGTTTGCATTTCTAATAATCTGATTAATTTAAAAACTATTACAAGAGATGTCCATTAGCGACAGGAAAGGTATGTGGCTTGATGTTTTTTCTACGGTCTATTTGTCTGCAAAGTAAATTTTCTCAGCAATAGTTTTCTTAATAACAGCTTCCAAACTTGAACAAAGTAATGAGCGTATGGTCTGTAAGGCAAAACAAGGCACAGCAAAGGCTGTTCTGGCCCTGGCCCTGGCCCTGGCCCTCCCCTCCCGGCCTCCAACTGTCAGGTGTGATTGCTGAGGAATGTTTAGTGTGGTTCAGGCAGGCTCTGGGGCAGCTGGGAAGGCAGAGAAGCAGGGATCCTCCTCAGCAGCTCACCTCTGAACCTGCATGGCACAGACAAAAGGCTCCTATTACAGTCACATGGTTTCTCCCTGCTGCTGCTGCTGCTGCTGGTGCTCACTGCAACGCACAGCTGGCTGGAGCCTCGCCCAGGGTAGGTGACACTCCAAGGGCTGGGGAGCGGGACTCACTGGGGCTCAGCTCTCTCTGCTGCCGCCATC